GTGATGTTGCCAGGGCACCCAAGGGGGATTCATTCTTTCTGTAATTCATTTCTATGGTGTTTTACCACAGCCTTAGTCCCCAATGTATTTAGAGCAAAACACCTGATCATTTATAAAAATAGACAGAAAAGTGCTCCTCCATATACAATAAGGGAAAATTTTAAATCACTGTTAATCCCACCATTCAACCTGAGCCTCTGTAGTGAAAGAAACTAGGGGCTAGTAGTGGGAGAGAAATTTGCATTTCTCTGTCACCACTGTCTTGGTGATTTTGTAGTTTAAATCATATGCATTTTCTGAAATGAAAGTATTTGAAGCACTAACATGAGAAATGAAGAAATAGGGATTTTAAAAATATGCCCTTTGTACTCGGGGATTTTGCCGAAGCAGGTTAAGTATCTCGTCCTCTAGATGCCTGAAGTCAGGAGCGGGTAGGAGCCGCAGAGGCCCAGACCACCAATGTTTTGCCAGTCACCAGCTCTGCTCCACTCCCAGGACTCTCTGGGTTTTGATGCCTGAGGCTCCATCCTGGGAGGGACCATGTACACACCCAGTTCATTGGCCTCCTGCCATCACAGTCTCCTGGGTCAGTCTTCCACCCAGACATCTGAAGCCACCACCTCCTGCTGACTCAGAGTGTATATCCTTGGTAAGCCAAGGCACTCTGACAAGGGCTGAGGCTCCAGGAAGAAATGGTCGCCAGGGTAATGTCCTCATGTGCCATCGTCCACATCGCATGGACGCCCAAGAATGGCAGATGTTCGAGAACATAGCAGTCTCCGTAGTTGAGATGATAACCCAGGGCCAATTTATTTCATTTCCAGTCTTAATCTCCAAAGTCACATCAACCACAGTATTTATTAATACTTTGATTTTCTAAGTTTGCATCTGCCCAGTGTAAGTCACCTTTCTCCATGTTATCAGACATGCTATAGAAAACTTGGATGGCAGTAGGCACTTCTAAAAGGAGGAGGAAGAGCTAAGAAAAGAATTGCAAAAATCTTAAGACAAAAAAATTGGAAAATATAGATTATATAAATAGGACATTTCCCAAGAGACATTTCAGCATAAAATATGCATGTATTTCAAAGCCCCAAGGCTGGTCCTAACCTGAAAGGCTGCTTTAGTAAGAAGGGATTGGAACATGACAGGTTGATCACCCTGAACTTGTCTGCTGTAAACTTGGAAGAAGGTAAGAGACTGAAGGTCACACTCAGTCCCTTTGGCAGCTTCTTTCAGACTATATTGACTTCACTTCCCTCTGAATCTTCCACAAATCAACACTGGGAAGCAGGCCTAGTATCCCTTGGGAGTACTGGGAATCGTAGGGAATATTACAGTATCCCAAGGTTTTAGGAAAAATAGGAAGTAATTCAGTTCCCTTCATTCTGGGAAAGGATCTTTGCTTTTGTCCTCTTTCCCACAAGAGCATTCATTACTTTTTTTTTGAGCAGAAAACATTCTCACACCTGATAACCAGTGCCCTCCTCTCTGAACTTTCCACTATTCCCAGTGGGATCCTACTTTGGTCCACACAGAACTTAGAAAATTAAAGTAAATACTGTGGTTGATGTGACTTTGAAGTGAAATAAATTGGCCCCAGGTTATCATCTCAATTACGGAGGCCTTGCTATGTTCTCGAAGAATCACAGCAATGCGACTGATAGCCGGGATTGATTCTGATCCTGGAATTTCCTCCCCTGATTGTGGCCATCCTCTTCACCCCATTTCTGAGCATTAGATTAGCTATGCTGGGGGAATTGCTGATGGTTTATTACTTTCTGTTTCTCAGAAGAGGCACCATTGAGACTTCCTCAGGGTGGCTTTGCAGCCATGGTCATAGGGAGCAGCTTAGCAGAGGCATAGATCTAGGGAGAGAGGAGAAAATACTTCCTTAGCAGCTATGTCAGACAAGTTCACTAGAAATAGAGTCTGAGAAAGATTTTGTGCAATGATTTATTGAGGACAATCTCAGAAGAAGGGAGTAGGAGAAGCAGGAAGTGAAAGGAGAGCAGCAGAAATGTAGTTTCAGGAGAAGGTTAGCCTCAGCCAGATCTCCAGGACAGCTCTGGCATGGGGTTGTCCCACAGTTATCCCCTGCAGAGTATATCCTTCAAACTCCCAAAATACCTTGTCCTTGGTTATTGGCTGCCCCTACGAGTGAGGCTGTCTAGTTGTACAAATCATACGATGAGGCAGTGCCCTTCATCCAAGGTAATCCTTCAAAGAGGGTGCAGGTGTGAGCCCCTAGGACCCAGTGGGGGTCTGGTACTCTTGACACAGTAAAGGGAGCTGAGCAGGGGACCAACCCTGCCTGCTAGAGCAGCCAAAGCAGTTGGAAATAGTCAGTGCACTGACTTGTACCCAAGGAGCAATATACATCATATACAAACCGTGTCCTACTACGTTCTGTCACTTAGATACTTCAAGGTCTGGTACTGACAGGGCATGTCTTATTTGATTTCACTGTATACAAGATGACTGGAGAGGAGCATGGAGGTCATTCTATTCTACCTTTCCTGGCAACTAGCTCTGGTCTCAGTTCTCTGCCATTGCTTGAATTCTGCCCAACTCATATTTACTAGATGTCTGCTGTGTATAAGGCACAATTTTAAGCACTGAGCAGGAAATTGCAAGACACAAACCAGCCTCTATCTGGGGCCTTAAAAATATACTTGTCAGAAATGGGAGAAATGGAAGAAAAAAATAAGATTATGCAAATCAAGTTTCACCCCAAGAACAGTGTAAAGTGATTGTGGGTACTCGAAGCCAAAAGTAGACACATGGAGGATGGTTTGTGTGATGGGAGGTCCCCATTCCAACTTTCCCTGATTTTCAAACTAGGAAAAAAATATCCTGGCAGCTTTTCCATTTGGATGAGACTAAAGAAGATAGAAATGCAAGTCAGATTCTGGGAAAAGGGGTGGGTGGGAACAAAGAAAGCCATCCTTTTGAAACATTCATTATGCCATAAAAACTTCTGTAATTCTTAGCCTGGGAGGGAGAATTATTGAAAGTTTCACTCATTGAACAAGATTATTTTGAAGCTAATGGCCAAAGGTCCCACTTTTTTTGGAGAAAAAACACTGAATCCAGCCAGTCTCCTTTCAGCCCAGACATGTTCTAGTGCTGCAGTGTTTTCTATCTTTACATTGGCACTGACATGTCTATTAGTCCCACTTGAGTTACTGTATTTTTAATATTTGCCCAGACTTTACACACCACCTCTTTGGACCGGATTTGACATCCATTCCTTCATCCATCCATCCACCCATTCATTCATTCCTCAACAAAACATTCTTAGGATCTTATTGTATGCAAGGCCTTGCCGTAGATGCTAGGAGAACACATATGAAAAAGGGACTCTGTATCTGCTCTAGAATACTCAGGGTCTAGTTAGGGAAGACAGAGAAGCAGGTGATTATTTTAAAACATGATACATGCTAATGTAGAGCTCTGCCCAGGACATGTAACCCTGAATAGCTCAGAGGATGTTCAAGAAGCTTTAGTTGAAACCTGAAGCCTTAATGAAGAGTTAACATCACCCTCTAGTATTTTCTTTATAACATGTATCATTGAAGGAAAATTATCTTTTTAAATTTTGTTGATATTATTTTTAATCTCTTTTTTATCATCCTATTAAAACTGTTTCTCAACTCTTTATCCTTGCTATTGTAGACAATTTTAGATATTTTTACTTAAATCACCACTCCCCATGAAATGTTTTCCCTGTGGCAAAATATAACCTTCACCTTTTTAACAATTTTAAATATATAATTCACTAACAGGTACATTTATGGTGCAACCATTATCATTATCCATTTATTGAAATTGTTTCTCTTTCCCAATTGAAATCTTGTGTCCATTAAACTATTCTGTCTGTCCATCCTTCTGTGCCCCAGTCGCTAGAAACCAGTACCCTGGATAGAGTACTGGTTCAGTGTCTTTGAATCCTACTCTAAGCGCTATTATTATATAAGCAGAATCATACAAGATTCCCTGTTGTGCTTAGTTTATTTCACTTAGGTTCCTGTTTTCAAGGTTCGTCTGTATCAGAATTTTAGTCCTTTTTCTGGATGAATAGCCCCATGAAATTTAACAGCACACATTAAACCTGTTTAAGTCTGTGGACCGTTGTAGGACCACAAGCCGTTGTAATATTTTTGAGTTCCCCCTCCCCCTCCTAAGAACCAGTTTTGACCCCTCCAGGCCATGTCCCCCAGTTAAGATGTTAAGGTGTATTTCATTTTATTTTATTTTATTTATAAATCAATTTTAAATTTAATTCTTAAATCAAATTTTTATTTTTAAATCATTTTTGTTTATTTTCTTTACATCATTGTTCATTTTTTAAACAATATTTGCTTCCCCCATCCCCTCAGGTGTAGTCCCCATAGAGTTTCCTTCAATGCACCTGTGCACCATCACCTCAGTCTCCTGTGCTCCTCCCTTCCTCCCTCTGATCCCTTTCCCTTCTCTTCCCCTGCAGGATGTCTGATTTATAATTGTCTATTTTTGCTTTGTTGTGTTTTGTACTGTTATTTTTTTATACTGATGTCTTATTTGATTCCCCTATATTCCTGCTATAAGTGAAACACAATGGAATATTATGTAGCAATCAAAAAAGATAAACTCATGCCATTTGTAGCAATGTGGATGGAATTAGAAGGAACAATGCTCAGTGAAATGAGCCAGAAGGAAAAAGGTGTATTTTAAATGCGCTAAGATGTCAGCTCAGAGACCTTGTTGATCCTTTTCTCCACTCTGCCCCTAGCTCTCAGTATAGTGCAGAGCTCATAGTAAACATCAATAAGCATTTTTTCAATACTTTCCAGCTCCCCTGCTCCTTCCTTTTTATTTTAAACCACTGTTATTAAGACTTGTTCTTGGAGTAACCACAGATGTATTTTGACATAAAGAGCCTGACATTGCCCAGCCAGACAATTCAACACACTCATTTCCCCAACTTACACTCACTCCCTGTGCTGCTTTCTTAACAGAGGTGAAAGATTATGAGCCCCCGTTTGGTTCCAAAGTGCGAGAACATCCCTGTGTCGAGAGCATGAAGGACAACGTGTTGAGAGATCGAGGACGACCAGAAATTCCCAGTTCCTGGCTCAATCATCAGGTAAGGAGTGACTGTTTCCAGGTCAAATAAAATTCATCCAATGTTTCCTTACGGGTGAGAGAAATAGTGATAATGGACTTCAGTGTGAGAGCACGTCCCTTGGTGTCCTGTGATCCTATTAGGTCTTGTTTCATAAAGAAAATTTCACTAAGTTGGGATGACCCTGGCCTGGAAGCGCCAACCAGCAGGAAGGCCTGGCATCCAGAGGGCTCACAGGTCATCCCTGGGAGGGCGTTTGCCACGAGGCCCCAGCCCCCTTGGTTCTAGAATCCTGTATTTTGTTAGCAGCCTCTTCCACTCACCCCCATGCCTTTTCGTGGGGAGTTTATGTTTTGTTCCAAATGTTTTCCAGTGGGTTCCAAATGTTTTCTTCTGGGAATCTTCAGTGCTGGAAGGAAATACTTAGAGTGAGCAACACGTAGTTTGTCAGCCAGCAGGAGTAAGTGGTGAGCCCTGTTGCTCAAGCCTGAGGTACAGAGAGCCGGGAAGGAGGAGCTGGCTCCTCGCTCTGGACTAACAAAGTAGAGAAAAAAGGAGAATGCAAGAGAACAAACAGGAAGTCTGTGGGGAATGTCCCCATGACTTTTCTTTTCAAGAAACGGTAGATGAAGCATCCACAGCTGGGCTTTCCGGGAGCAGGGTCCACATTCTTGGTGTGGGGGCCTCTCCTCAGGCAGTGGTCGAAGAAGAAAGGATGGTTTATGAGACCAGGACAGTCTGCCAGGGGGGAGCGAGTGGGAGCAGCATAGCCCTCTCACCACTCAGCTGTTCTCTCTATTGAGAGAGAAAGGTGAAGCCTGTTAGGGCCTCCCTGGTGGCGCAAGGGGTTAAGCACAGCACTGTGAAGCTGTCCACAGCCTCTGCAGCGCAAGTTGGAGCCCCGGCCAGGGGCTGACCCACATGGTGCAGCAAATCTCTGTCTCGCCCGCTGCTCCCCTCAGCAGTGTATTTCAGTCAGTCTGCCTGTTCTGTTCCCCACTCTGTCTCTGGTGAATCCTCTCACCACCCACCCCCCCCCCCACCGCACCTCTGGCCTATACCCCAGTTCCTGTATGCATAAATAAATCGTAAAAAAAAAAAAAAAAAAAAAAGGTGAAGCCTGTTATAGGCTGCCTCAGGGGAATTCCTTTATCTAGTGAAGACTGGGCTTAGCCATAGGCTTTCCTAAGAGCAGAGCTAAGAATTGGAACCCCAGACCAGGCCCAGGCTGCAAAACAGATTGGAACGAGAAGCCCAGCTGTGCCAGTCCTGGTCTCAGGCCAGTGACAGACCCTCATGAAGTTGGGGGTTGGGGGGTGGCATGAGCCAGGCGTGGCGTCCTGGGGCTTCCTTGGGGTCCTGGGCAAAGAGTCTGACTCTGAAAAGGCCAGACTGTTTCCCATGAACTCTGAAATCACGAGGCACTGGTGTTTCTTTCAAACTGTTGCCTCCTCTCCTGTACAGTTCTTGTAATGAAGCCATTATTCATGATGATAAAATTCTGGAAAGAATTTGCATAATACATTTTTTCTCTTAATGAGATTTGTTGCCCTATTGATTTCAAGTTAATGCTTAATATTTAATTTAATTTACTGCCTGTAATTACAGTGCCAGAATAAAATAAATGTTACTTGTGTACCAACAATAACACTCCACTCTAACAGGCCATCAATCAATACCGTCAATTAGGTGAATTATACAATTAATTCAACATCATGTACTCACTCAGGGTGGGGGGAGAGGTGTGTGGAGAAAGATTTTGGTATTAGAGGGTGAATGAGCAAAGTGCATGTTGGCATTCATGCAAGCCCCCTGGGCCACCTGTGTGAGGGGTCTCCAGGGACTGGTACTCCTGTAATTGGCAGGAACACATGCTTTCCATCACTTAGGCTCTCTTTACCCCCTGCTATTTTATTTCCCAAAAGCACTTGAGGTAATAGAAAAAAATATTTGCTATTGTTAAGGCCGGGAGAGAAGACCCTTGCCACTGTATGGGATGGCATTTCCTGGGTGGGTCTTTTGAATGGGACATTTGTGGGGTTGGCCTGAACCCCACATCTGACCTATGAGTTCAGCTGTTTCTTGGAGTCTGATTGATGATGTTGGAGAGAGAGAGCCTCCTCAGCAGGTCAGATGCTGCTACCAAGTCACTCCCCAAATCACATGGACTTTATGAAAGGAAACGAAAGCCTGCACTCCTGGACTCTGGGGAATCAGCCCTGCTGACACAGTGATGTGCATATGTTTCCACCTCTAAGACATCTGGGAAAGGCAAAACCATAGGGATCGTAGATCCATAGGTGCCAGAGGCTGGCTGAGCAGAGTGGGGGCGGAGGGGAGAGGTGCGGTGACCAGGTGTTGCACAAGGATTTTGAGGGCAGAGGAATTATTCTGTGGGATACTATCGTGGTGGGTACTCATCAGACCTGTTGCATGTTCCCCAATGTGAACCATGGACTGGGGCTGATAAGGCCGTGTGGGTGTTGGCTCAACAGTGTGCCACAAGGCAAGACATTGATGGTGGGAGAGGTTGAGTTTGGAAACCTCTGTCTCCCACTCACTTTTGTTGTGAACTTGAAACGGCCCTAAAAAGTAAAGCCTAAAATTACTTTTTTAAAAAATAGAAAGGTATGAAATGATATCAGGGGCCATTTTGTAGGCGTTTGCGGGCTGGGGTTCTGCTATACTCCAGAAGCCCCCAGAAGGTCCTTGTGCTGTCTCTCCATTTCAAGACCTATGGTGATGCGATGACACTGGAGTAGATGGGGGCCAGGGCAGCGGCAGCCCCTGCACCTTCCCTGCAGGCCATTTGGGACTGATCGCCTTGTAGAGAGGGCGCTCTTGTCAGAACCAGCTAAAGGCGCTGGCTCTTCTCTTCCCCCCACCCCACCTGCTCTGCAGGGACGAGGTCAGCAGGCCCCCTTCCTGCCATGAGCCCACCCGCTCAAGCTGCCTGTGCACTTCTCTCCCTCTGCAGGGCATCCAGATGGTGTGCGAGACACTGACCGAGTGCTGGGACCACGACCCAGAGGCCCGGCTCACGGCCCAGTGCGTGGCAGAGCGCTTCAGCGAGCTGGACCACATGGACAGACTCTCCGGAAGGAGCTGCTCCGAGGAGAAGATTCCTGAAGATGGCTCGCTAAACACTACCAAATAGCTCTTCCTGGGCAGGCTGGGCCGAGCCCAAAGAGGCCACTCCATCACCAAAGACCAGAGGCAGCAGGAAGCTGCCCCTGAACCAATGCTTCCTGGAAACCCAGGGGTCCCTCCCCTCCCTGGAATCTGTGGGGATTGAGCAGAAACAAGAAGACAGCAGGGAGGGGGGGACACAAAGCATTCAATGCCTTTGACATTGTCATAGGATAAGCTGTTAGCACTTCCTCAGGAAATGAGATTGATTTTTACAATAGCCAATAACATTTGCACTTTATTAATGCGTGTATATAAATATGGAATAGCTATGTTTTATATATATCTATATATGTCATATCTATATATACAGCCATACTCTGGAAGGTGACAAGGAAAAAGATCAAATATTCCCAGGAAATTGGTTTGCTTGAAGAGCTCCAGAACAGAGCACAGAAGGAAGGGATTCATTTCACATTAGCATTTGTCAATCGCGCACACAGTGGTTCTTTGCATTAGGAGGGGGGCTTTGCATTAGGAGAGAGACTCTGCATCTCAGAGTTCACTGTGGCCCCTTTGCACTTGCTTCGCTATACAATTATTCCCTGCACTTGGGTCCCTCCTTGGCTGTGGTAGTCAAGACAGTCTGTTTGGGCACCAGGTCTGGAGGTGCCTGTGTGCCAGTGTTATCTCCTGGACTTTTCACTTGAACTTCAAGCTCCACTTTAACTTCAAACTACCTTCCTCAACTAGCTGGAAACTCTACTCCATCTCTAGTCACTTAAAAATTTTGAGCCCCATTTTTCACTTTATCAAGCTGCGGGGGAAAAAAACATCAGACCAGATCTCTCCACTCATGAAATTGCCACACCTTCTACTAATGAGAGATTGTTCTTTTGTTAAACCACACAAAAAAATCCCTCTCCGCCTCACAATGCCCATGTTTCTGTTCTCACTCCCCGCCCTTCTCCCTGTCCTATAAGGGGAAAAATCTCCCCTGCAGGCTTTGTTGTATGATTTTTCATACATTTGGTTTGAGTCTGAAGCTTTCTTTGCAAACGCCAGTAGAGCCCATCTTTCTGGGCTCCTGAATACTCAAGAAACATAGTGAAAGGATTTGAGCTGCACCTTACTGCACAGGCAAGACTTTTTCCTCAGGCACTCTTGAACTTGTGCTTTGCTTGGCCTGCAGAGCACTTCACAAATGAGCCACTTTTTAAATATTTGAAGATTTTGCAAAAAAGATCTGGATCCCCAGGTGAGGATAGATAGCAGACGGTTTCCAGTTCCCTCCGGTCCACACCATTCACAAAACATGAGGACACTCAAAGCTGCTTCACTTCTCGCTATGAACATTGGCATTTTTCACTGCCCACTCCCACCAGGAATTAAACTTGCCTTTAACCAAGGTCCCTTGTAAGAACTGTGCATCGAAGCAGTCAATCTCTGGCTGTGTAATATAATTCGGATCCCTCCCTCCACCTGACCTGGTGTTAAGATTTGGAGCTGGTCTTTTCGGACTAAAGGAGCCTCCTCTAAGTGGTCTCTGTGAGCCTACCACAGGGCTTAGATATAAGAGCTATGCCTACCACATTAGGGACAGGAGCCTTGTCTTCCACTGGGCTGACATCACAGCTATGGTCTCTCCAGCATACCAGCCTTTGCAGAATTTGCTAGTGAGGACTTGAATGCAGGACACCATTGTCCCATTTGCAGTTAGGAAATAGGTATCCACAGGGGCCAAGAACAAAGCTTTAATACTCCATAGGAAACCTGTTAATCCACACATGTATTAATGCTGCAAATAACAATCTCTTTTTTTTTATAAAAAAATGTTTTTGAAGCTACTTATTTTCAGCCAAATAGAAATATTAGCAAAGGACTGAGAGTGAGCAAATCAACTTGATTTGGATTTTGGAAGGTCTCATTTTATTGGGGTTTTCGCAGACATGCTGAAGTTTGGGGTGAGGTAGAACTTTCTAGGCATATAGCTCAGTTGCCGTGAGATGAAAGAAATAAGGACAATTTGGCTGCAGTGCCTTAGAAATGTCCAAAAATTCTGTGCTCTTTAAGGCTTGTTGATGCCATCCCAATAGCTGTTGCTCATTGACCTCTAGTGGTGAATGTTTAGAATACTGGTCCTTGAATGCGATCTTCCAAGATTCAAAAAAGCTTTATCATTTCTGGTTGCTCATCAGCATAAACTGGAATGTCGTATCAGATGATACTGTGGCTTGTTTGTTTGTTTTTATTATGCAAGAAAAAGACCAAGACTACATTCTGTATTTCCTAAAAATACTACTATGCATAAAGGGAAAGTTTTATTCTTTTATGGAACACTTCACAGTACTCATGTATTAAAATAGGAATGTGAATGCTATATACTCTTTTTATATCAAATGTCTCAAGCACTTATTTTCATCCTATGCATTTTTTTGGCTTTTATATAAATAAAATGTTTATTAGATTAAATAAAGCAAAAATACTCAGGTCAGCTTCCTGTGTCCTGTTCCTATTCATAGCTGAGCCTATTTGCCTCACTTAGTGGTTTTGCAGTTTATGCAGAAAAAGTCACGAAGCAAACCCTGTCCACCTTTTCCACATTCACTGTCTACTTCGACTGACAGTTTCAGATTTTTTTTTTTTTTTAAAAGCAATGACAGATGGAAAATAATTTGAGATTGCAGGGGAGAAGAATATGCCAACCCCGGACAAGACTTTTTGGCAAAAGTTTGATTTTATGGGAGGGGTTCGAAAGGCTGAATGGAGGTTGCTCTTGAAAAACACAATTACATGGAGAGTTTCCTCTGCAAGTGCATCTCCCTCACTATATGCAGGAGACCTAATCTCATTTTTTTTAAAGATTTATTTATTTTTTTGTTTATTCATTCATTTATACAAGCACTGGGTACAGTCAGAAGCGCGGGAGGGTGAGAGAATTCACCAGAGCCAGAGCGGGGAGCAGAGCAGGCAGAAGGACAGAAGTACACTGCTGAGGGGAGCAGCGGGCGGCAGGAGAGGTCTGTGCGCCATGTGGGACCCTCGCCGGTGGCCCGGGAGCAGCCGGGGTTCGAACCGGCGCTGCAGAGGCTGCGGGCAGCTTCGCAACCCAGCGCTCAACCGCTGCGCCACCGGGGAGGCCCCCCTTATTTCTTTTTAATGGAGAAGGCAGAACTTAAATCTGTGTGCCTTCCCCAGGAAACTCCATAACTGACCTTCCTTCCTCCCTTCACCCTGCCTGCCTTAGCTATTAAGATACTGTCTGAACCCGTGTGGGGATTTACACAGTCACGCTGGGACTCTGAAGGTCCACGTGTTATTAAACTTTTTGACTATTTCTCTGATCAATCTTTTTTTTTTTTAAACTTTTTTTTTTTTTAAAGATTTATGTATTTATTTATTTCTACAAGCACTGGGTACAGTCAGAAGCGCGGGAAGGTGAGAGAATTCACCAGAGCCAGAGCGGGGAGCAGAGCAGGCAGAAGGACCGAAGTACACTGCTGAGGGGAGCAGCGGGCGGCAGGAGAGGTCTGCGTGCCATGTGGGACCCTCCTCTGGTGGCCGGGGAGCAGCCGGGGATCGAACCGGCGCTGCAGAGGCTGAGGGCAGCTTCGCAACCCAGCGCTCAACCGCTGCGCCACCGGGGAGGCCCTGATCAATCTTTCTGATGCTTGTGTGATTATTTGCCAGCCCAGGAGAACCCAGAAAGGTACAGGAAAATTTTTCTTGTGCTCCAACAAGAAGCAGCAGCTGTTGTCTGTGGCCTGTCCTTGTCCCTGGATTCTAGCATGGAATTTCTTGGCCACCTTCTTAGCTTGCCCCCTCTTTGTCCCAGGCATGCCTGCATCTACTTAGCACAGATCAGGCTGTTTCTAAGAGCTCATGGTATTTCTTTTATTTTTCTCCTTTCCTAAAGTCCCCTGCCAGATGCCATGCTTCCTTCCTCTTCCTTTCTACCCAGCCACACTCAGCCTCCCACCAGAGGCTTTTAATTGGCTTTGTCTGCATCACTAGATGAATGTGCCTTAGGCAGTGGGCCCCAGGTCATTGCCTGAAGGCTTTCTTCTGACAAAGTATCTTCAATTTTCCTCCCAAATTTTTAGACACCTGTTTTGGAATCTGAGAGACTCAGTGGCTTCTTCTGAGTCATCAACTAGGTTCTAAATAGTTAAGTTTCTACTTAAGATGGTAGGTAGGACCTGCTCCAGGGTTTCTAAACCTCAACACTACTGCTATGTTTTGCATTGATAAGTGTTTGGGGAGTGGGCCTGTCCCCTGCATTACAGGCCATGGGGCCACACCCCAGGCCTTGTTCCCCCTGGACACCAGCAGCACCAACCCCACATCTGTGACAATCAAAATGTCACCACATACTCCCTGAGGTCAAAAGTTGCTCTCAGGTGGGAATCACTGAACTGGATGATGAGCTCTGGTACTGCTGTGGACATGAGAGTCCCATCTTAACCAGCAGTGTGGCAGCTTGGATGGTTACTAATGTTGGTGGTTACTGGCTCTTCCACTTCACAGCTATGTGACCTGGGCAAATGTCTTCACATTTCTGTGCCTTGGTTTAATTGTGTGTAAAATGGAGTTTTTCAGGCCTCATGCTACACAACATGCCATTGTGATAAGGAATACATACGAGACTTTAGGCTTTGTCTCTAATGTGGCCATTGGCCAAGGTGAAATTGATGTAGTAAGTCGAGTGCTGCTTTCTCAGAGAAACAAAGAAATCACAAAGATTTTGCTGTAAGTTCTAGAGCAGCCACACAGAGGACCAAGGGCCCGTAGCCAGCAGTGTCTCTTGCGTGAACACCCATGCTCTGAGGCTTCTCATTCAGAGAGTACCTGCTGTGTCATAAGATTTAATCCCCCACGAGTCCCTTGCCCATTTTATACCTCAGAAAACTCAATCAAGAAAAAAGCCTGGGGTTTCAGAGGTAGAATTTGGATGCTCAGCCATGATATCCTGGAACTAGAATTTGAAAGAACTTGAATAATTTGGAATAATGCTTGGTTCTTTAGCTACTTCATGCTGTCTCCTCAGGAAACTGTCCTGTCCAGAGGAAAGAGAAGACCACCTCAGGAAATGGCCAACTAACTACTCTGTCTGCAGGACTTGGTCCTTCTCTCTCCCCCCAGGGTCTGTGTACCAAAGTAGGCAGGGAAGAAGCTGGCAGAGAACTTGTTCTCCACTCACCTAAGTGTTGTCTAAATTCTTGCCGAGGTTGATTGAAAGATGGATGACTCTGCGGGGCCAGAGTGGCCGGGTGTGGTAGTTCAGTGGATTTCAGACGTGCCAACATTTAAAAACATTATTTTAATGGTCTGTTTTAATTTTAACGTGTCAGAAAAAATAAACACATTTAAGCTTGCGCTTTCACAAATATTATTGCTAGAAATAGAGCTGAGTTTGAAAACTTGAATTGATTTTTTAAATGCATTAAGTAGATAATGGCACTTATTTTTAGAAACTACGGAAGATGGAGACATGAATAAGAATGAAGCGAGGCAGCTCTACCCACAGAAGCCAGTCACATTAATCACCAAGGGCTTCAACACTCAGTAAGCACCAAACACTATTTGCCTGTTTTATCTGCTTTAAACTTCACCGCAAACCTCGGAGGTAGTTTTTCTTCCATCTTCGAGCTGGGGAAACAGGGCAGAGAACAAGATCTTGCTCAGGATCTTTAAACCAGGATTGAACTCCTTGAACAGGAAGTGAAGCTGGAGTTAGAGGACAAGTTGGCACCTCTGGAATGTTTGAGGGAGAGATCTGGTTCCTTAGCCTAAATAGGGGAGAGGAGATGCAGTTCACCCTGGAGGGAAGGAGCTTGGCCACCAAAGAGCCCTTCCTCAAAGGCACATGGACTCTGGATTCCAGGCCAGGAGCTTCAGCCAAAACAGGAGCCAAGGTTCTCTGACCCCCCCTTGCGGGCCCCCTTCGGCCAAGGTTATTTCAGTTCTTGCTATTGCAAGGTCAGGAGCATTCCAAGTTGGCAGTGAGTCTCCAAGTACCCTCAGCAGGGACACAGTCCCTTGTACCCGTCAGCAGCTTTTGAATGCAGGCGTTCTTTGTGCCCTGGGGTTTCTATTTTGTGGTGGTGGTTTCTGTTCTAAGCTCTCTATGCAAATGACATGCTAATAGTCCAGTCCCCAGGGAAATTCCTTCCCCAGGTGACAGTCAGGGAAGTTTGCATTTAAACAAGTGTGTCCATCTTTTTTCATAAAAGTCACTGCAGTTGGCTTCTGCTCATTTTGTTCATTTTCCTCCTGAAATAGGCTGCCTAATCGTTGCTTATCACATTTCTAATTAGTTTTTTTTTTTAACTTGAATAATTATAGCTCCAGACTATGAGTTTGAGGCCATGGCTTTCAGGCCTACTTTGCAAACTCTGCTGATAAAGGCAAGATTGTGAACTTGCCCACATTACATGGCCTGCCAATCAGCTTCACACAGTGTAATTTAATTCTAATACACCTCTTGATCTTTGGTGCATTTAAAAATAACTTGTTAATAGTCTTCCTGTTCTAATTAAGCAAAAATTGCACACACTGTGAAACGCTTGCTCACTCTGTCTCTGTACACACACATACACACACACACACACACATATATTGATCCTCAAAAAATCACTCTGCCTGAAGCTGGTGTAGCACATTGCTTCTGAGATTTTCCTTCAAGTCTTCACCCTTCACCCATGCCCACAATGGTGGGCAACAGAACAATTGTAGCCCTGGTGTCACAGGAGCATTTGAAAATTCATATTATTTCTCAATATCCATAACAATTTTGTAATTGTGATTTCTATATCCCGATTAGTGAAGGAAATTAAGGTAAGAGTCTTATACAAGCTTACACAGCCATCAATCCAGGTCTCTCTCATCTCCTCCAAGCTGTTTGCCCACATTTATTTCCATTAAACAACATATTTCAGTTGAATGAAAAGTGGTACAGCATGCTAGTTCTCTTTGCATCTTGAACGCAAATAACTATGTATTACTCCGCATCTCACTTGAGCTTCTAGGACAGAATAGAGCTCTTAATAATGGTTTTTCAATAAATTTTTGTTTCGGGAAGTAATGAAGACTCTTGGTCTTTAGAAGTCATTGATCCAGCTCAGAAAATAGACATACAAATAAACACTATGTGCTTGGGATGTCTAATCAGTAATGTCTATTGGATGGAAACAGCCTGAGGTAAAAAATACCTGATTTAGGCAGAGAAATCCCTGGGTGAGTATGCTGTCCTACAAATGCCCTTGCAGATGTGGGGCTATGTGCACCACTGCTACCCCCAAGAGCTTTGCCTTGCTCGTCCAGTTCTGCTACTACCCTCTCCCTGAGCTTCATTATTTCCTAGGGTTGCTGTAGCACATTACTACCATCTTGGTAGTTTAAAACAGAAATTTATCCTCTTTCAGTTTAGGAGTCTAACATCAAGCTTCAATGGGCTTCCTCCGAAGGCTCTAGGTAATAAGCAGGGC